GCGGCGTGGGGACAGGGAGCGGCGTGGGGACAGGGAGCGGCGTGGGGACAGGGAGCGGCGTGGGGACAGGGAGCGGCGTGGGGACAGGGAGTAGTGGCTGTAACTTCTGAGCAGTTTAATCAGCAGCCTTGGGAAACCAAGGTGCCTGCCCACACTGGTGCAGCCAGCCCTCCCCTCCCCTCCCCTGCCCACACTGGCACAGCCAGCCCTCCCCTCCCCTCCCCTGCCCACACTGGTGCGGCCAGCCCTCCCCTCCCCTCCCCCTGCCCACACTGGTGCAGCCAGCCCTCCCCTCCCCTCCCCTGCCCACACTGGCACAGCCAGCCCTCCCCTCCCCTCCCCTGCCCACACTGGTGCGGCCAGCCCTCCCCTCCCCTCCCCCTGCCCACACTGGTGCAGCCAGCCCTCCCCTCCCCTCCCCTGCCCACACTGGCACAGCCAGCCCTCCCCTCCCCTCCCCTGCCCACACTGGTGCAGCCAGCCCTCCCCTCCCCTCCCCCTGCCCACACTGGTGCAGCCAGCCCTCCCCTCCCCTCCCCTGCCCACAATGGCATGGCCAGCCCTCCCCTCCCCTCTCCCTGCCCACACTGGCGTGGCCAGCCCTCCCCTCCCCTCCCCTGCCCACACTGGCACAGCCAGCTCTCCCCTCCCCTCCCCTGCCCACACTGGCGTGGCCAGCCCTCCGTGGCCAGCCTTTCCGCTGTGGAGCACAAACCCTCGCCACTGCTTGTCTAACATGCTCCACCTGGGGTCCCGTGACTTCTCGGGGCTTTTCCAGCGGATAAAGGCCCGGGACAGGCTCGGGAAGCCAGCAGGTCGAGTGGGAGCAGCCAGCCCACAATGAAGATTCTGTCTGGCATTGCACAAGCATTTTCTTTGTCTACGACACACAGCTATTCGCACGCACGCGCACACAAAACACCATCAGGTCTTCCTTCGTCAGAAAGGCTCGGCGTGCTGCAGAGACATGGCTTCTCAGGCATCATGGGTTTCCTACCTGGGCTGTCTGCTTGCTGTCTGCTTGGTTGGACTCCGTCTGTCCTTAGGAGACGCGGGAGCTCGGTGTGGCAGGAGCCGCTGTGGGTGGTGGCGTGGGCGGGGCTGGGCATGGGGGCGGGGCCGCCCCAGGTGTGCCCATTGTCCCTGAGTTGCTGAGTTCACACCTCGCGCACCTGCCTCAGGCCCGTGTGCCTGCACCTGGGCCCAGCTCTGGGGCGCCCCCTGCGGGATGGCCAGGACCCCCACAAGCACAGGGTGATCAATGTTACACCCCAGGAATGACGCACAGACCCCAGAAACTCTGGGGGACCCTCTTATTTTACAGAAGAGCACACACACCCAAGGCCACACACACACAGGAACACACAGGAATACACACACACAGGAACACACAAGAATACACACACACAGAAACACACAGGAATACACACACACAGAGGAACACACACAGAGGAACACACACACAGGAACACATACACAGGAACACACAGGAATACACACACAGGAACACACAGGAACACACACACACACAGGAACACACACACAGGAACACATACACAGGAACACACAGGAATACACACACAGGAACACACAGGAACACGCACACACACAGGAACACACACACAGGAACACACAGGAATACACACACAGGAACACACACACAGAAACACACAGGAATACACACACAGGAACACACACACACACAGGAACACACAGGAATACACACACAGGAACACACACACAGGAACACACAGGAATACACACACACAGGCACACACACACAGGAACACACAGGAACACACACACAGGGACACACAGGAATACACACACACAGGAACACACACACAGGAACACACAGGAATACACACACAGGGACACACAGGAATACACACACACAGGAATACACACACAGGGACACACAGGAATACACACACACAGGAACACACACAGGGCCACGCGCAGAGGCCCTCCCGAAGCCCCACCTCATGAACTGTTACCTTGGAGTTGAGCCCTGACGTGTTACCTGGGGGACACATTCAGACCACACGTGCTGCAACCCATGCTGTGACCCACGTGGCAGGGCAAACGCATGTGCACCTCTGTCCCGTCTTACCCTGGGATCTTCCTGGACAGAGCCTTGTGTGTTTACCACGGCAGCCCACTGCCCTGTCATGCCTGCCGCAGGGCAGGCCTCCCATAAAGGCAGGTGACAGAGTGAACAAATGAATGTGGACAAATGTGGACGGGTGTGGATAAGTATAGATGAACATGGATGAGTGTGGATGAGTGTGAGTGAATGTGGATGAATGTGGAGGATTGTGGGTGAACGTGGATGAATGTGGATGAGTATAGATGAACATGGATGAACGTGGATGAATGTGGATGAGTGTGGGTGAACGTGGATGAATGTGGATGAGTGTGAGTGAATGTGGACGGATGTGGATAGGTGTGGATGAGTGTGGATGAGTGTGGATGAATGTGGATGAGTGTGAGTGAACGTGGATGAATGTGGAGGATTGTGGGTGAACGTGGATGAATGTGGATGAGTGTGAGTGAATGTGGATGGATGTGGATGAATGTGGATGAATGTGGACGAGTGTGGATGAGTGTGGATGAATGTGGATGAGTGTGAGTGAATGTGGACGGATGTGGAGGATTGTGGGTGAACGTGGATGAATGTGGATGAGTGTGAGTGAATGTGGACAGATGTGGATGAATGTGGATGAATGTGGATGAGTGTGGATGAATGTGGATGAGTGTGGATGGACGTGGAAGAACATGGATGAATGTGGAGGATTGTGGGTGAACATGGATGAACGTGGATGAGTGTGGATGAGTGTGGATGAGTGTGGATGAGTGTGGATGAGTGTGGATGGTCGTGGATGAACATGGATGGACGTGGATGAACGTGGATGAATGTGGATGAACGTGGATGAGTGTGGGTGAACGTGGATGAATGTGGATGAGAGGTTCTTGCCTGGGCGAGCAATGCTGGCTCTCTCTCACCAGAGGGCCAGCGTCCAGATGACAGAGGACCTAGGCCCTTGCTGCGGCCTAGACGGCATCCTGCGGCCTGGCTTGGTTTACTACTGAAGTGTGCCTGGACCTTCAGCCAGCTGCCCTCTGCCCTGCAGCGGGATGGGAGACGCTGAGTGTGGAGGTCAGAAGGGCGCAGCCTGAGCCAGCAGCTGGCTGGTGTCTCCAAGGCCACCCTGGGAGGCCAAGACTCCATTTCCTTCCCACAATGAGGTGCTTTCATTCCTCCTGACAGCAGTCTTGGAGTCCTTTCCTGTCCCCTTTGGCTCAGAGAAAGGATTGCAGAGTCTGGGCCAGGGCCATGGCAAGGGCTGCTGGCTCCGCACCCACGTCGGTGCTGACAAAGCGCCACCAGGCCCTCCAGGACCGCGGCTTCCCCAGGACCCCAGGCCTTCCCTCTGCATGTCCCCCGCTGACCCGCATATTCCTGCTGACCCGCGTGTCCCCCGCTGACCCGCGTGTCCCCCGCTGACCCGCGTGTCCCCCGCTGCCCCATCTCAACTCGCACCTGTTCTCACCTGCTCTCCACTGGCACTGACACCGCGGTCCACGTCCTGATGGCAGAGCCAGCCCCAGCTTCCCCTTGTGGGCAGGAGCGCCCCTGCGCTGGGCCCGTGCTCGTTCCAGGCCTTGCCCCGCAGGCCCCTCCGGGAGGGTCCAGCCGCAGGCCCTCCTGGGGCTCCGCTGCCCCTCCTGCCACCTTGTCCCAGCAGCCTCCACGCCCCGCAGGCAGGCAGCCAGCCTGGCGCAGCGACCGGGCGCCGCGCTACCACCCGGGACCCGGGGCCACGCAGGGGCAGGGGAGGACGGGGAGGAGTCCACGGCGCTTGTCGGTGGGCTGACCACCGGCGCCTGGCCCCCCGGTGCCCAGCAAGCCTGTGCGCGCCGGCGGCTCGGCCAGCCTGCGGGAAGCGGACGCAGCGCCCGGTGTCTTCCGAGCAGGGAGTGCGGTGACGTGACTCCGTGACGTGACGCGCCTCCCCGGCGGCGTGACTCCGTGACGTGAAGCGCCTCCCCGGCGGCGTGACTCGGTGACGTGACGCTCCTCCCCGGCGGCGTGACTCCGTGACGTGACGCGCCTCCCCGGCGGCGTGACTCCGTGACGTGACGCGCCTCCCCGGCGGCGTGACTCCGTGACGTGAAGCGCCTCCCCGGCGGCGTGACTCCGTGACGTGACGCGCCTCCCCCGCAGCGTGACTCCGTGACGTGGCGCGCCTCCCCGGCGGCGTGACTCCGTGACGTGACGCGCCTCCCCCGGGGCGTGACTCCGTGACGTGACGCGCCTCCCCCGCGGCGTGACTCCGTGACGTGGCGCGCCTCCCCCGGGGCGTGACTCCGTGACGTGGCGCGCCTCCGCAGCGGCGTGACTCCGTGACGTGACGCGCCTCCCCCGGGGCGTGACTCCGTGACGCGCCTCCGCAGCGGCGTGACTCCGTGACGTGGCGCGCCCCCCCCCCGCGGCGTGACTCCGTGACGTGGCGCGCCTCCCCCGCGGCGTGACTCCGTGACGTGGCGCGCCTCCCCCGGCGGTGACGTGACGCGCCTCCCCCGCGGCGTGACTCCGTGACGTGGCGCACCTCCCCCGCGGCGTGACTCCGTGACGTGGCACGCCTCCGCAGCGGCGTGACTCCGTGACGTGGCGCGCCTCCCCCGCGGCGTGACTCCGTGACGCGGCGCGCCTCCCCCGCGGCGTGACTCCGTGACGCGACGCGCCTCCCCCGCGGCGTGACTCCGTGACGTGGCGCGCCTCCCCCGCGGCGTGACTCCGTGACGCGGCGCGCCTCCCCCGCGGCGTGACTCCGTGACGCGACGCGCCTCCCCCGCGGCGTGACTCCGTGACGTGGCGCGCCTCCCCCGGGGCGTGACTCCGTGACGTGACGCGCCTCCCCCGCGGCGTGACTCCGTGACGTGGCGCGCCTCCCCCGCGGCGTGACTCCGTGACGTGGCGCGCCTCCCCCGCGGCGTCACTCCGTGACGTGGCGCGCCTCCCCCGCGGCGTGACTCCGTGACGTGGCGCGCCTCCCCGGCGGCGTGACTCCGTGACGTGACGCGCCTCCCCCGCGGCGTGACTCCGTGACGTGGCGCGCCTCCGCAGCGGCGTGACTCCGTGACGTGGCGCGCCTCCCCCGCGGCGTGACTCCGTGACGTGGCGCGCCTCCCCCTCCCGCGCCGGCGGCCGGCAGGCACCGCGTGCGCACAGGCGGGGCTCCCGCAACCCGCGGGGCCTCAGATGGGCCGCGGTCACCGCGCCGCGGCGCCTCCCGGAGCAGCGATGCTGCGGGGAGCCGGCGCGGCCCCGCACGGCCTCCGCGCCTGCCGGCCTGCGAGGCCCAGCCGCAGCCGGCGCCCGTCCTGCAGGCAGAGCGACAGACGGCCGCAGCCGGCGCCCCGTGGGTCTCTGCAACTCACCGCGGGCGGAGGCCGCACGGGGCTCCAGTGCTCACGGCGTGTCTGTGTCATCTCCCGGGCCCACGCGCCCGGCGCGGCACGCGAGGGGGGCCTCCGCCATCGGGGAGCAGGAAGGCCTCTGCGCGGCCCCTCCGCGCCCGGCTCGCCGCGCTCGGGCCCCGAGGCCCAGGCTCCGCAGCGTCTCCGCGGCCTGCCGCGGCCCCGGGGACACGCACAGCAGCAGCAGCAGCTTCGCGTCACCCCCTGGGAAGAGGACGGGACCGGACACGGGCTGCCACGAGCGGCGGGACCGCGGGGCGGAGGGGGGAGGACCGCGGGGCGGAGGGGGGAGGACCGCGGGGCGGAGGGGGGAGGGGGGAGGACCGCGGGGCGGAGGGGGGAGGACCGAGGGGCGGAGGGGGGAGGACCGCGGGGCGGAGGGGGGAGGGGGGAGGACCGCGGGGCGGAGGGGGGAGGACCGCGGGGCGGAGGGGGGAGGACCGCGGGGCGGAGGGGGGAGGACCGCGGGGCGGAGGGGGGAGGACCGCGGGGCGGAGGGGGGAGGGGGGAGGACCGCGGGGCGGAGGGGGGAGGAGGGAGGACCGCGGGGCAGAGGGGGGAGGACCGCGGGGCGGAGGGGGGAGGAGGGAGGACCGCGGGGCGGAGGGGGGAGGGGGGGAGGACCGCGGGGCGGAGGGGGGAGGAGGGAGGACCGCGGGGCAGAGGGGGGAGGACCGCGGGGCGGAGGGGGGAGGAGGGAGGACCGCGGGGCAGAGGGGGGAGGACCGCGGGGCGGAGGGGGGAGGAGGGAGGACCGCGGGGCGGAGGGGGGAGGACCGCGGGGCGGAGGGGGGAGGGGGGAGGACCGCGGGGCGGAGGGGGGAGGACCGCGGGGCGGAGGGGGGAGGGGGGAGGACCGCGGGGCGGAGGGGGGAGAGGAGGCCCAACCAGCAGGCGCCGGGGCACGTGGGACCGCAGGCCCCTGCAGGCGGCCTCGCCTGGTGCGGCCACCGCTCTGGGCACAGAGACCCCGGACGGGGGTTCCGGGACCCCTGCCCCCGCCATCACGCAAGCCTTCCTCATCCCAGGAACCTTCCCGGCCTGACAGGCGGGGATGAGCTCGTGAAGCACAGACACCGCCCAGGGAGGGCGTGGGGGTGACGCTGCAGAGGCCACTAGCGGGCAGCTGGACAGCAGGGCGCAGCCCCCCAGGCCCCCCACCCCCAGCCCCCTGCCCCGGGGCCTTGGGGAAGAACAAACCAATGGAGTCCTGCAGCAGACGGGTGAGCTTGCTGTTCCGGTACGGGACGTGGCTGCGGCCCTCGGACAAGGCCCCCAGGACGTCGGCCAGGGCCGCGAGGCTCCGGTTGATGGATGAGGCCTCCCTCAGAGCCACGCCTGTCACCCCAGATGCACCTGGAGGGCGCAGCGCTCAGCCCCGGCGCCGCGTGCCACGCAGGAGCCAGGACGCGCGTGGCTGGCCGCGGGGGCGCTCGGCGCGGCCTGCCGGCTCCTCCGAGGCCAGCGCGGGCTCCGAGGCCCCGGCTCGAGGTTGGAGGCCCCGTTAGGAGCAGCCTGGCTCCAGGACGGAGCGGTGGGACCTCCTCCCCACCGCAGGGCCCCACCATCGCCCACCACGGAGCCAGCTGGGGCGCTCCGAGCCTGCGAAGCTGGGCGTGTGCCCGGGCGCCCGCGCCCACCGCTCACCCACGCATTCGCTCCCGGCCAGGTCCACCAGCTGCAGCCTCGCCTGCGGCCGTCCCCCGCGGCCGGGCACACTGGCCTCCTGCGGGGCGCGACGCCTCCTCGAGGGCCCGGCCGGCTCCCGGCGGGTGGCTGGGCCGGGCTGGGGGCCTGGTCGGAATAAAGGTCACAAAGGTCACAAAGGTCAGGGCAGAGAGCTGAAACTGCACCCTCAGGACGCCGCTCCTCCTCAGAGAGAAAAGACGGGGCAGCTGCCAGGCTGCCAGAGTGAAGAAGACGAGGAAGAGGAGGCAGGCAGGGCCCGCCATGGCCGGGCCAGCTCCTGCCCCGTCCCAGCCCAGGGGACGCCTGTGTTAGAGGGGCCGCCAGCGCGGGGCGCGTCCTTGCCCCCCACTGACAGTTTCCTGTGCTGTTTCTCAGCACACTTCTTGAAAATTACTGTTTCACCTAAACAACGAATACTCACTGTGCAGAACAAAAAAGTGCACCAACTCCACAGCACCCGTGTCGGCCCCGACCGAGGGGCTCGTAAAACCCACGCTTCGCTGCGGTGGCTGCGGCTGCTCACATGCAGGTCCTGGGCCCCACGGGCCCGACCCTCGGGGGGCCGAGTCCTGGGCACAGCCACGGGGGCCCCGGGCACAACTATGCCACGACTCTGTCCCTGCAACCTAGAGGATGTCCACAGAGGCCACACGTGGCCCTGATGTGACAGCCAGGGGAGGCGTGGGCCTCCAGGCCAGGGTCCCTGCAGGGAGAGGCGAGGCCGGAGCCCGCGCTCCAGGGTGGCGTGCAGTGCTGTGAGCTTGCAGACACCGCTTCCCATCCTCCCTCACCCCGCACAGCTGCACTCCGGGGTGCCCGGAAGGTCACTCAGGTAGCTGAAGTGCCAGGGCCTGGCCTGGACTTCATAGGCCTTTGCCTGGATGGCCTAGGAACATTTTATCGACAGTTTGTGCCTTCTATTACAATGAAACGCCCCGGACAGCTTCATTTGTGAAAGATGAAGTCTAAGTGCACGCACCCTGTTTTCCTCCTGTCCTCCTCCGCTCCCCTGCCTTCAGCCTGGGCTCCCGGGGCTTCCTGGGTGTGGGCTCCAGCATGGCTGTGGCACACAGGCTCAGGTCCTGGCCTTGGACCCTGTAATCCTCTCTCTCTCTCTCTCTCTCTCTCTCTCTCTCTCTCTCTCGTGGCCATCCACTCCACGCATGGACCTGGTACCCATGGCGACTGACTCACCAGTGCTGCCCGGCACAGCAGCCGTGGTCAGCGTGGCCGTGACCACTAGGTGTGACCTGGAGGAGTCTGCGTGCACCAGCGTGGGATGTGTCACCCGCAGCTGCAGACCTCTGTGGACGAAGCCCACGAACTCCACGGCACTGGTGACGGTCCTGCAGAGGGGTAGAGGACCCTGAGACGGGGCCCACAGCCCGCCTGAGCTGCAGGGCAGCCGCGGTCTCCAGCTCCCGGGGCGCTTCGGCTCGGGCTCAGGTGCCTTTCGGGTGGGCCGAGCCCCCACTTCCGGGAAGTGGACGGAGCAGTGGCGGCACAACAAACCTCACTCACGCTCGCTTCCTGTGTGCGCCCTGCGGCGGCTCTCATGGGCTGTCCTGGAATAACATGGCTGCAAAACCATCCAGGCTGCCACGCTGCTATTCACGCCTGGCTGCACCCGCATTCTGTGTATGTGCCCAAGCTGCGGCTTGGGCTCAGCCCGGTAATGACCCTTAGCCTTTGTGCTCTACCACTTGAGCCACAGCTCCACGTCCAGCTCTTTGGGACTCTCCCGCCCAGGCTGTGTGCTCCGGCGTGCACTGGCGTGCAGCACGCCCTGCCCGGGCCGCAGGAGGACTCACACACAGGTCAGCAGGGGCACCTCCGTCCGACCCTCCGGTGTGGTCACCACTCCGCGCCTGACGCCAGTCACCGCCGTGCAACCGTCCTTGGCCAGGAGGTCGTAGATGTCATTATTATAAATCTCCACTATGGAAACTTCCACCTTCGGGCTTCGTGGTGGGTTTTCTGCGATGAGCCTGGGGAAATCCGGGAGGATGGAACCATCAGGCTGTGCTCGCTGAGGCCTGGGGAAGCCTGGTGACGGCCTGGCAGAGCGCGTGGTCAGACGCAGGACCTGTGCGCTCACAGCCGCACAGAGCCGGTGATGGAGCGAAGGGCGAGGTGAAGGCCGCCTGGGAGCGAAGCTGTCACTGCGGTGTCACTGGTGGTGTCCGCTAGCTGAGCGCTGGGGTGGGGGGGTCAGGACTCCGCCCCTGCCAGGGGAGGGGCTGAGCACCCAGCTGACCCAGAGGCCTCCAGGCCCGCTCTGCCATGGCCCAGGCCATGGGAAAGCTGGAGGTGCCCTTCCCACTGGCCCGTGGGAATGCTGGCTCCTCTTAGGGGTGCCTGCGCACACACTGCCTGCTCCGGGGTGGACCTGCGTGTCTCAGGGAAGACTGGGCCAGCAGGTGGACGCCAGGCCTGGGAACACAGGGCACATTCTCTGTGCAGCCATCCCTGGAAGCCATGTGCTGTGGAGATTTTCAGGGTGTTTCGGATGTTGAGCCCCGCCCCACCCCAGACCGACACCTCTCCCTGGGGAGGAGAGCCAAGAGCACTGCGAACACGGCAGCTCACACCTGTCATCCAGTTACTCAGGTTCGCAGTTCAAAGTTCTCCCAGGCAGGAAAGCCCGTGAGACTCTGATCTCTAACAACCCACTCAGAAAAAAGTCAGAAATGGCACCGTGGCTCAGGTGGTAGAACACGAGCCTCAAGCAAAAGCAGCCCGGGGACAGCACCCAGTCCCAGAGTTCAAGCCCCAGGACCAGTGGGCATTTCCCCCTCTGCAGAACTGAGACCTCAACCCCTGGCACGGGGGATCTTTAGCTCAGGCTCTCCCAACTTGTTCCCATCCGATTTCCCGCCCCCACTGCAGTGGGCTGGACGTCCAGAAGTGCTCAGCGCGGCACGGTGGGGGCGGTCCGCTTGCCTCCCTCCAGTGCACCCTGTGCCCGCGGCTGCCCGCACGCCGCCCGTCCAGCGCTGCGGGGACCCGGCCAGGCCAGCGGGGTACCTGAAGAGCTCCTCTGCAGCTCTGGGGATGACCCCGGGGTCACGAGGCGCGGCTGAGGGCAGCCCGGGCCAGTCCGCGGCACCTGGCCCCAGCATGGTGTAGCTCTTCCCACTGCCTGTCTGCCCGTATGCCATGATGCACACATTGTACCTGAAAAGTAAGACAGACTTGTAGCAGCAAAGCGCAAATGGGGCCAGGGCCACGGCGGCTCTGGAGGAGTTTTCACTTCCACATAAAACTTCAGTGCACGTCATTTTGCATTCCCCTGTGCAACTGAGATTCGTTCAACCACAGTTGTCCACTCAATGTAGCCACTTTGCCTTGCAATACTGGATTAAACTACACATGCATGCAGTGCACGCATGCATGTGCACGTGCGTGCACACACACACACGCTTTGGGACTTCTTGGTGTTCGGACACTTTCCCTGTGGAGAACACTGGTGTCCTCTGCCTTCTCGTGGCTCACACCAGCCTCACCGCAGCAGGTCAGCAGCCCCTCACACCTCACAGCTGCTCACTAGCATCCAACGAAGCACACAACCGCACACATAAGAGCTTACTGCACATCATGTTTGAGGGAAAAGTCTGCTCTTTTCTTTTCAAGATCCAAAACTGTCTGTCTTCACCATATTCACAACTGGTGCCTCGCACGGCCGGCACGAGCTTACTTAAGATGGCGATGCGTTTTGTTATCCAGGTGATTCTGCGGTAATCTACCTGTGCTGAGCTCTCTGCTCACACCACACTCCATCCTGCAATCTGACATTATTTGACAGGAGTCCACTGCACAGGCGACAAAGACTATTGACAAACCCCTGAAGTGTTTTTCGGTCATTTTATCAATCCCCAGACATCAGTGAGAAGATTGTTTGGGACGACATGGTAGATGTGAATTTTTGATAGAAAGTCATGCTCTTCGGGTCTTGGCCTGGCCCTCTTGCGGAATATCTGTCTACAGCCATCAGAGCCACTTTGACCTGGCAAACCAGCTAGGGTTCAGGTCAGGGGATTCTGAACAGGTTTGGACATTGGCAATGCATCCAATTCAGTGAGACAGAAAGCGGTAAAGCCAGCACCCCGGGCTCCGAGGCCACCGGCAGCACAGCTGCCAGAGGCCGGAGAGCCACACAGCAGGGCAGAAGGCCCGCATGTGTCCTCCCAGAATTTCAGTGGCTGAAGAACAGAAGCCTGCCCTGTCCACCGCGGCCTTCCGACTCCACCGCTCTGGATCTCTGGGAAAGGAAGCCTGTGGCCCCAGCAGACTCGTGGCTCAGGAAAGGTCTCTAACCACCCAGATGAAAGGATGTGCCAAATTTAACACTGTCTGTTGTGGGCAAGTCTGCCTAAATGGTCCAACCATGGCGCCTGGTCCCACTCTGGAAGCAGCTTAGGGAAGCAACCGCCCGCTGGCCAAGGCTCCCCTGATATCTTCAGTGGAAGAATTATAAATATTTAGGTCGGGACACAAAAATAGTTTATGCCAGGCACCAGTGGCTCACTCCTTGTGAAACTGGAACTTGTGGGGCTTGAACTCTGGGCCTGGGCGCTGTCCCTCAGCTCTTCAGCTTAAGTCTAGTGCTCTACCACTTGAGCCACAGCACCACATCCAGTTTTCTGGTGGTTTTTTGGAGATCAAAGTCTCAGAGACTTTCCTGCCCAGGCTGGTTTTGAACTGAGATCCTCAGATTTCAGCCTCCTGAGTAGTTAGTATTACAGGCATGAGCCACCAACTCATTACTCCTGTAATTCTGGCTGTAATCTCAGGAGCCTGAGATCTGAGGACTGTGGTTTGAAGCCTGCCTGAGTAGGAAAGTCTGTGAACTCTTATCATCAACTAACCACCAAAAAGTGGAGCTGTGGCTCAAGTGGTAGAGCGCTTGACTTGAGCTGAAGAGCTGAGGGACGGCACCAAGGCAGAGCACAAAAATCAAAAAGCAGCGGGGCAAAGGCCTCGCAGCCAGGGGAGGAAGGGCGGCGGGGCACAGGCACAGCAGCGTGTGAACTCCACGCCCCAGCCTCGCTCCGCACGCGACAGCCCTCCACAAGACCCGCCCTGCTCCGGCACACAGGGAGTCACGTGGTGGCCACAGCCTTGCTGGGCGGTCTTGGCTGCGGCCTACCCCTTCGGTGGGAGCCTGCCCTTCAATCTACACCAGCTTTTCCAGGAAGAGGAACTGATTCCCAAAGTGAAGCGCTGCCCCGTGCGATGCCAGTGTTCCCCGCGGTCTATTCACAAATGCGGAAGACTTCACCAAGAATCCCAGGGGCGGGGAGCAGCTGCTCCCTACCCCAGCCTGCCATCCACACACAGCACAGCGGGACCAGAACACGGTGTGGGCCACAGGGCATGCTGCTCAGCCGGCGGCGACTCTTCCACTGAAGGCCACGGGGACAAGGTCACCGGGCTGCGTGGAGGCGCCGTGTAACCATGGCAACCGGTCTTGAAACACCTGAACTTACCCATCTAAGAGGGAGGTGAGAAGGGGCCGCACATCTCCAAACACGGCTGCCTGGGACTCTGCTGGCCCATAGACTCTGAGGAAAAGCAAAGGTGGTGTTGATGGAGGAGGAAGAGAGCTGAGCAGGGTCCCCAGTCGGACCAAATGCTCCTGCTCTCCCCCAGCAGGCTGACTCCCGCGATCCTAGCCACACACCCCCACACTGGGACACAGGCAGATGCGGGAAGTGAGTTACACAGTCCGCAGGCAGCCTGACAGCCTTGGCGTGAGGCCACCCCCACACCTGTGCTCCATGGAGGCTCTAGGCTGGTGTGAGCTCCGTGGTTCCCTTGCTGACCACGCCGAGCCCGAGGCCCGTCTCTGCAGGCAGCGGGGCCATGGCCTGTCCACGGCACTGCAGCAGTCACGCGGGCAGAGCCTGGGCCCCTCCGGGGGACCTGCACATGCACAGCCCTACCGCACGTTTAGCTCTTCTATGCCAGTGCCTTCTGGGACTCTGCCACTCAGGACACCATGAAACCAGATGCCGGCAGAGCTGTGCTGTGCCACTGTCTTCATGATAAAGCCCCTATCAGCAAACTGGATATAAGCGTGCAGCTCGGCTGGGCACCGGGGGCTCGTGCCTGTAATCCCAGCTGCTTGGGAGAACAAGGCTGGGAGGATTTGGGCTCACAGCCAGACCTGCCAGCAAAGTTGAGAGCACCCCATTCAATCCACAGCTGGTCACAGTGGCATGCTCCTGTCAGCCTAGCTATGACAGAAACACTGAAATCGGCCAATTGCTTCTGGGCAGGAAGCTAGACCCCATCTCAAGAACTGACAGCCAAAACCAGGGCTGGAGGGATAGGTAAGAGCAGCGGGCCACCAAACCTCCACACTGCCAGAATGTGGGCTCGCCCTGAAGATAAGCACAGAGGTTATCTGTGTGGGCTCGCCCTGAAGATCAGCACAGAGGTTATCTGTGTGGGCTCGCCCTGAAGATCAGCACAGAGGTTATCTGTGTGGGCTCGCTCTGAAGATCAGCACAGAAGTTATCTGTACTTGCAATGAGCAGAGTCGCTGGATAAACTGCACACGCGTTAACCCCCAGGTGCCGCCTCTGTGTTGAACTCGGAACTCGAGTCTAGATTCTATGCTTACCTTTCAAAAGTGTATGTCCTACTGGAGGCAGGCTGGCCGGGCCGGCAACATGTCACCGAGACGGTTTCCTAACAGAAAGGACAAAGCAGACACTGCACCCCTGCGCTTCATCCGCCCTGGAACAAGGCCCGGGAGGGACACCTGGGCCTGCACCAGTGGCCGCTCCTGGGTCTCGGCAGTGTCGCCAGAACACAAGAACCGCTGCTGGCAGATTGGGCCGGCTGCTCGTGGGCAGAGCTGAGCCTAGAGACAGAGGCTCTGGCCTGAAACTCCCGGCCCTGCAGAGGTGTTTGTGGACCCCGGAGACAGGGCCGGGAAAGGCACCTGGGCCGTCCGGGCTGGGGGCCCAGGACAGTTCAGATGAGGGGATCAGACTCCAGCCAGGCCACGAGTCACCGCGCATAGGCATTATTGCTTTGTTCACCTCTGATCCATGCCAGCCTTTTCCCTCACCGGGCAATTCAGAGTCATGCCGCCTACAAGGCGCAAAAGCAGTTCAGCAGAAAGGTGTCGCTCCGTCCTCTCCAGGAAGGAAAACATCAACACAGACTGGTTCTAGCTCTAACACAGATGGCGAAGTCACGACAAAACGGGAGCATAGCGAAAGGAGGTGCACCGTGGGGACAGGGAGAGGCGTCCGGCGCCACCCCTCCCTGGGGGACATGGGACGTCCAGAGCCACCCCTCCCTGGGGGACACGGGACGTCCAGAGCCACCCCTCCCTGGGGGACACGGGGCGTCCAGAGCCACCCCTCCCTGGGGGACACGGGGCGTCCAGAGCCACCCCTCCCTGGGGGACACGGGGCGTCCAGAGCCACCCCTCCCTGGGGGACATGGGGTGTCCAGAGCCACCCCTCCCTGGGGGACACGGGACGTCCAGAGGCAACTGCCGTCCTGGGGGACCAAGCCGACACCACCGCCTGGGTAAGCCACGGCGCCCGGGTACCCAGAGCCGACATCACCCATGGTGAACTCAGGGTGCTCAGACAGGGGCGCCGCCATGGGAAGCCCAGGCGGGGCCGCGGGAGTGACCGCTGGTGGTTAGCCGGCCTGACTGGGGCAAAGCCTCGGCTTTGCCTGCTACATACACGGACCCAGTCTCTGCTGCTGGCTGTCCCCACCTGAGACCCTCTAGGTCACCAGTGAACTACGTCACCAGGAACAGGCAGAGGGTGGAGAGGGAGGCAGGGGGCAGGGGGCAGGGGGCAGGGGGCAGAGGGCAAGGGGCAGGGGGCAGGGGGCAAGGGGCAGGGGGCAGGGGGCGGACAGAAAGCCGTTGCTCTGGGTGCGTTTCCAGGCCAAGGAGCCTTCCTCACTACACTGGTAGTCTCGGGAGGAGGTGGGGCCCTGTCTTCCACAGCCACATGGACAGCGAGGAGGTGGAGGAGGTGGAGAGGGAGCCGCAGCTCTGTCCTGCCTTGGGGTGGCCTGAGGGACAATGTGCAGATTCCAGCCCCGCGGGCTGGGGCGTCTTCCGAGGGTCGCCGGCACACCCTGTCCCCAGCGCTGGGGCCCGGAAGGACAGTGCCATCAGAACAGGGGCTCCATGGCGGGCGAGGGCCGGAGGGCCGGGCAGCCCTCCCCGTCCCCAGCTGCTGGCTGCAGTGGGTCCACCCCTCCTGCGCACTCTCCCCCAGGGCCCCCAGGGACTGCGTGCTCCCCAGCGTGGCCAGAGGTCACCCCAGGGCTGTGCTGTCTGCAGACGCCCCAGCCTTAGCCATAAAGAAAACAAGCAAAAATGCCAATGTTTGCAGTGTCTGACCCCAAGGCCAAGGAGCACGAAAAGCCACAAAAACAAGCGAGAGCCCAGCGGTCTCCATGAGTGCTTAGCAATTCATCCATGTGGAAGAGTGTCTAGACATCCAAAATGATTCTAGCGGCAATGTTAACTTTTCCAAACACAGTGAGTTGTTCTACTCTGCCTGTCCCCACCCCCACAAGAAGACCTCAGCACATACAAATTAAGGCCCCAAAGGCGCAGCTAAGCTGAGCTCCACTGCCCAAGCCCATGGTCCTGGCTACCTGGGGGTCAGAGATCGGGAATGACATGCTGAGTCCAACTTGGGAATAAAGTTTGCAAGACTCCATCTCCACCAGCATCTTAGCACAGCAGAGCATTCCTGTCCTCTTCGGCCACACAAGGAGGGAAGGCGGGGTGAAGGGACACAGTCACTGGGATGGAGGACGGGAGGGGGTGTCACCTGAGGGATCGCGTGCTCACAAGTGTGAGGTGCGCCCGCCCGAGTGTATCTGAATTCAGTCCCTAGTACCACGGACGCACACACACATACCACACACACCACTCACACACACACACCACTCACATACACACACACATATACACCACTCACACACACACCATTCACACACACACCATTCACACTCACACACACCACTCATACACACCACTCACACACACACCATTCACACTCACCACTCACACACACACCACTCACATACACACACACAAACACACCACTCACACACACACTATTCACACACACACCATTCACACACACACCACTCACATACACACCACTCACACACACACCACTCACATACACACACATACACACCACTCACACACACACCATTCACACACACCACTCACACACACACACCACTCACATACACACACACCACTCACATACACACCACTCACACACACACCATTCACACTCACACACATATACATCACACACACCACTCACATACACACACACCATTAACACTCACAAACACCACTCACATACACACACACCATTAACACACACACACACCACTCACATACACACATATACACCACTCACACACCATTCACTCACACACACATATATACATCACTCACACACACACCACTCACATACACACACACATATACACCACACACACACCATTCACACACACACACCACTCACATACACACACTACTCACACACACACCACTCACACACACCACTCACAAACCATTCACACTCACACACACCACTCACATACACACACACCATTCACACTCAAACACACATGTATACATCATTCACACACCACTCACACACACACACCATTCACACTCACACATACACACCACTCACATACACCACTCACACACACATATACACCACTCACACACCACATACACACATGCACCATCCACTCACACACATACACACATATACACACCTCTCACACTCACATATACACCACTCATACACACACCACTCACACACACCACTCACATACATACACACCCTTCAAATACACATACCACTCACATACACACACCATTTACACATACACACACATACACACCCCTTACGCTCACATATACACCACTCATACACACACAACTCACACACACACCACACACATACCCTTCAAAACACGTACCACTCACATACACACACATTCACAAACACACACCACACACACACACCCCTCACACATACCACATACACACCCTCACATACACAGACCACTCACACACACACTTGCTTAGACCCTCACACTCATGCACACACACACACATACTGTAGGGAGGGAGAGAACTTACACACACACATATCTGTAACTATTAGTAACACCGCGTGATTATGTATGTTCAGTGCACAAGATAAACCAGTGGCAGCCGTGGATGTGAGCGCCAGGTGGGCGGAGCTATGTCACAGCCGTGGGGGGCGGAGCTATGTCACAGCCGTGGAGGGGGGGCGGGGCTATGTCACAGCCGTGGATGTGAGCGCCAGGTGGGCGGAGCTATGTCACAGCCGTGGGGTGGGCGGAGCTATGTCACAGCCGTGGGGGGGCGGGGCTATGTCACAGCCGTGGGGGGGGGGGGGCTATGTCACAGCCGTGGAGGGGGGTGGGCGGGGCTATGTCACAGCCGTGGAGGGGGTGGGCGGAGCTATGTCACAGCCGTGGGGGGGCGGGGCTATGTCACAGCCGTGGGGGGGGCGGAGCTATGTCACAGCCGTGGGGGGGCGGGGCTATGTCACAGCCGTGGGGGGGCGGGGCTATGTCACAGCCGTGGGGGGGCGGGGCTATGTCACAGCCGTGGGGGGGGCGGGGCTATGTCACAGCCGTGGAGGGGGGGTGGGCGGGGCTATGTCACAGCCGTGGGGGGGCGGGGCTATGTCACAGCCGTGGAGGGGGGGCTGGAGGGGGGGCTATGTCACAGCCGTGGAGGGGGGGGCGGGGCTATGTCACAGCCGTGGGGGGGCGGGGCTATGTCACAGCCGTGGGGGGGGGTGGGCGGGGCTATGTCACAGCCGTGGGGGGGGTGGGCGGGGCTATGTCACAGCCGTGGAGGGGGTGGGCGGGGCTATGTCACAGCCGTGGAGGGGGTGGGCGGGGCTATGTCACAGCCGTGGGGGGGGCGGGGCTATGTCACAGCCGTGGGGGGGGCTGGAGGGGGGGCTATGTCACAGCCGTGGAGGGGGTGGGCGGGGCTATGTCACAGCCGTGGGGGGGGGCTGGAGGGGGGCTATGTCACAGCCGTGGGGGGGGCTGGAGGGGGGGCTATGTCACAGCCGTGGAGGGGGTGGGCGGGGCAGGCGCATCGGAAGGGTTGTTGGCGATGCCCAGGCTTCCACAGTAAGTGGCAAGTGTGCAGAGGTGCGGCACATCAGTAAGACACGTAGGCAAGCGTGGATTTTGAACTCCCCTGGATCTCCACGCTGCCCCCTCCCCCACCCCGCCCCGTCTCCATCAGCTCCGAGTTTCCTGGCGAGCTCCTCCCCGCACAGGATGCATCTGCCCTGGAATACAAGTCCTGCACCACGGGCACCGCAGGCTTCATCCTCTCCCCCGCCCGCACCATGCCCACGGAAGGCTTTGGCTGTCTGCCGGCCATCTCCGGAGCAGCCTCCGTGCTGCCGGGGGCAGGCCCTCTGGAGTGGCCGCCTTTGCCCTCCTGGGCTGGGATGTCCCTGGGAAGGGTCGTGTTCACCTCCATCCCCACGGCTCCCCCAGGGCATGGAGAAGCTGCCTCCAGCTCCCCACCACTGGCCCAGCCGCTGCCCCGCTGCCCGCTGCCCCCACGGCCCCGCTGCCCCCACGGCCCTGCTGCCCGCTGCCCCACTGACCCGCTCCCCGCTGCCCCGCTGCCCCCACGGCCCCCGCTGCCCCCACGGCCCCGCTGCCCCCACGGCCCCACTGACCCGCTCCCCGCTGCCCTGCTGCCCGCTGCCCCCACAGCCCCACTGCCCCCACGGCCCCGCTGCCCCCACGGCCCCGCTGCCCCCACGGCCCCACTGACCCGCTCCCCCGCTGCCCTGCTGCCCCCGCTGCCCCCACGGCCCCGCTGCCCCCACGGCCCCACTGACCCGCTCCCCGCTGCCCTGCTGTCCCGCTGCCCCCACGGCCCCGCTGCCCCCGCTGCCCCACTGACCCGCTCCCCACTGCCCCGCTGCCCCCACGGCCCCGCTGCCCCCACGGCCCCGCTGCCCCGCTGCCCCACTGACCCGCTCCCCGCTGCCC